CATTTTGTTGCATAAGATGCTACATTAAATAATTCTAGGAGAGCCAAAGAAGCCTAAATGCATATATTTCCACAACTCTAATGTTGGTGGTGATATTGGAGACTGGAGGATCTGTATGTCACCCTGGTGGATGGGGAGGAAGGGACAGAGGGCTCTTCTTCATATCTGCAGTAATGTGCTTTCTTCCCATCATTGAAATGGGAGGAAAGTGTGCTGGTACGAAAAGCACTGCCATCAGCTACTTTTACGGTACCGCAGCAACGGGGCTGGTCACTGTTGCTGCCTGCTGCCCATGGGCACTGTTAATGCAGCATAGTTTCAGGGCATGGATGGGTGGGATACCAAGTTCAACTTTTTAAAACTTTCAGCTTCTAAAGAAATATGAGATTCCCAACCTCCAGAAGAACAGAAATATCTCAAGCCCTTGTGTAGGATGGGAAAAGGGCATTGCTGTGCGAGTCCTGTTGAGCCTTTAGTTTTGTGGCCCAGTGGGAACACCGACCCCCTGGAAAACCTGCAATCAATCTTCCACAAGGTCAGTACTCTTCTGTCCAAGCAGCAACAACAACAAAAAAGGAAGAACCGGGCTATGCCAGTGAAGTATCTGCCCCCACTAGCAACCACGTACAGAAGGGCCATGGGGATGCAGAGCCCTCCAGCCAGAAGGGTCAGTCCTGCAGCACATGGAGCCCAGCAGATGCCGGATTTCCAAAGGTGGCTCTTCCAATCCAAGTGATCTAGATTGTCCACACAGGAGACCTGGTAGCATATGACTCAGTACATCAAAGGGAATTAAAGAAATTAATGTAGAACTGCTAGTCAGCTGCTAGTCATCATGGCTATATACTAACTTCAGGCTCTGAAGGGATTTCCTTTGGTATCCATTGGCTGGACCACAAGAGCAAGATTTGCTATTCCTTTGTGTCTTCCTTTTGAGATGTTGATGGGCTACTGTAGAATACAGGATGTTAAACTCGATAAACCGTTGGTCTGATTCAGTAAGATGGTTCATATTCTGACACCTGAGTAAATTTGACCAGACTGCAGCTGTTGTTACACTTTTATCCAGAGTCAGATTCACAGATTACAAATGGAGATTTATGAGTGTGTCTGTGTATTTGTACTCAGTCCCTCATATTTCAATGTATGTGCATACCACACACACACATATATACTTACACCACTGTTATATGTACAGTCACATTA